GCGGCCCCTGCACTCCAGTCTGGGCCACAGAGTGAGACTCCAACTCAAAAAAAAAAAAAGGTCATCTCAGCCTTCCAAGTAGTCAAAACTACAGATACATGCCACCATGCCCAGCTAAGTTTTGTGACCTAATGTAGAGACAAGGTCTCACCAAGTTGCCCAGGCTCGTCTCGAACCCCTGGGCTCAGGAAATCCTCTCCCCTCGGCCTCCCAAAGTGCTGGGATTACAGGCTGAGCCACTGCGCTGGTCCCCATTATTATTTTGATCTACATGTTCTTTGGTGTATATTGAGTAGCCACGTATGTGTCTGCCTTTGTACAATATTTTTTTTCTTTATGCTTCTGGATTTTTTGTATGGTGACTTGAGACTTGCAGAAAGTTTGAACCTTTGTATAACAAAATCATTTTGCATTAAAAAAAAAAGTAGAGACTGATAAAAGTAGAGAATGGATAAATAAATCATAAATATTTCAACAATGAAATGGTATTCAGCCATAAAAAGGAATGCAGTACTGATTCTTGCTATAAAAAATTATGCTAAGTGAAAGGCGTCAATACACAAAAGTCATGAGTCCATTTATAGGAAATATCCAGAATGAATAAATCCAGAGACAGAATGCAGGTTGGCAATTGCCAGGGGCTGGACGAATGAGAAAGTGCGGAGAAACACTTAACATTAAGAAGTATCTTTGGAGTGTTGGAAATGTTTAGTGGTTGCACAACATTGTGAATATACTACGTGCCACTAAATTGTTCGTTTTAAAATGGTTAATTCTATGTTATGTGACTTTCTCCTCATATTTTTTAAGGTGACTTCTCTCACGTGTTTTAAAATGTAAACATCCTTTAACAAGTGTTGTTGTATGTATGCCATTATGTCACAGATTTCTCTTATCTGTTGAATCATTTTGTTATGGAAAAGTCTAAATCTTCGTTAAAGTGTACTATATCACCTTAAAAAAGAAAAAGAAAACAACAACAATAAAAATGAAAGAAAAAACCCTGCCAGTTTTAACTCAGTATTAAGGAAATAAATCCTCCAAAAATTAAGGTAAAATAAAAATATTTCCAGGTTAAATAAAACTAAAAGAAGTTTTCTCCAGTAGAGATTCTCTACAAAAAAAAATTAAAGGAAATTCTTCAAACTGAAGGGAAATCATATCAGAAGGGATATAAAGGGAAATCATATCAGAAGGGAGCTTAGACTTTCAGGTAAAATGAAAAGTATAAGAAATGATAAATATCTTGTCTATTTAAAATTTATGTGACAAAGCAAAAACTATGGCTTTGTGTGGCATTATGGGTTTATAATGTATGTAGATGTAACACATAAAACAAATACAAGATAAATGACAATGAGAGTAGAAAGAATGCTATCTACCTATGCAATTACAAAATATACAATCATATCTACCTGCAAATTTTAAAGAGTGTATTAATATTAACTTTATGTAGATATAAGATGCTAAGGATGTATATTGATATCGCTAGTAAAACCACTCATTATAATACAAAGAGTGATAGCTGTGAAGGTAATATATAAATTATAATTGAAATCTTGATACAAATATTCATATAATCTGAAGGCATTTTATTCCTCTGAAACAGAGGAATAAAATTAAAACAAATACACCAAAATAACACATTGATAGACACAAATCTAACATTGTCATTCATTATGTGAAATTGACAATGGACCAAACATTCCCCATAAGAGGAAGAGGTAATTAAATGAATTAAACAGGAAGACAAAATTATGTGCCTATTGTAAATGAACGAATAATTTTTCAAGCATTTTTTCTTTTGAAATAATTATAGCCAACAACCAGCATCAGCCTCCAGACATCTGAGGAAGACCATCCTAGATCAACCAGTCTCCCCCCAATCTGCCAGCTGAATGCAGTCACATGAATATGTAGAGCACAAAAGACTGGTGAAAGAATTGCTTAAATGATTTGCTGATTCAGAAAGTTATGAAGAAATAGGCTGTTGTTGCTAAAAACAAAAGCAATAATTATTGACCCACAATAAATTTCAAAAGTGATACAGAGAGATCCTGTGTATCCATCACTCAACCTCCCCCAATGGTGATATCTTCAATAATGTTTGTGCATTATCAAAGCTAGAAAATAAATTCGTACAATACAATGAACTAGAGTATAAATTATAAGAAAACTG